ATCTCGCCTTGATGCCGGACCGGCAAGCGTCCCGAATTTTGGGCCAACCTCGAGCGGGCTAGGCTTCTCGGCCGTAGCAGCGCCTAAAGACGTGCGGTATAGTGGGATCCGCGTGGATTCCTGCCTAACACACTGACGCAGGAAAAGCCACGCAAATGACTAATGAAGACGATGATGCACACATACAACACGGAATAATCAGAAGCCTAAGGTGGATTAGGATCATGAGATGGAGAAACCATTTGCCGCAGGAACGGACGCACCCTATTTAAACTGAGTCGATCAATTATGTAAGCCGTTTGCAAGTATCATCATCATCACCATCAAAGACAGAAACATCAGTGTTGGCACTGATGCGATAAGAGACAGTAAATCAATCGGAGATTCGTTGCTTCCAACGAAAAGCTCGATTTTCAAAGAGCAATTAAGCTGGTTTAATTGAAATAAAACGATCGATAGGAATCCAGTGGAGTTAAACGGAACGCCTGCCCCGCATCAAAAAAAGAAGTCTAACGCGAGATCGTTTGAATCCTGCACCTCTCAGGGGTTGTAAAGTCCTGGTGAGCAGTTTGACGAACTAATTACAAACGACTTGGAACGATAACAGGGTACATGTGGAGTGCAGCGCTTCGAAGATGATTTCAAACTGAGGAAGCGGTGCGACATGTGAAGATAATCGCGGCACCAACCTGTTAGCTTTAGTATCCAAGATGTTCTCTGGCATTAGCTCATACAAGCAGATCAATTACCGGGAGAGAGATACGCTAGCATTAAACAGTGTCTCACGCTGGACGATGATACACGGACTTCAATCTTACTCGGCGATAGATACTTGAGTGGCGCAACTCTACCAAACATCCAACGATGGTCGTTTTTCTCGGCCAGAAGGTTCCTTCTGGTTCTGTCTATCGTCGGGAACTGGTGATAAAAGATACCGCTTCTAAATGTGTAAGATTACAGCAGCTAACGATCTCACACGACGATTGCGGCTATTGGACTATGCGCAGTTCGTATTCAGAGGGCAGCAGGAACAGATGCACGAGGGCAGTAGATGCTGTATTGAGAGCTGTCGAGAATTGGTACTATGGGCATGGTGAATTAAGCAAAAAGTAAAATCAATAATAGCGCAATCGGTTCAAGCGGAAAAATATTCAGTGAGGCAGCAGGGCATTCTGCAAATAATGATAAGCACAAAGTGATGTACAAACGTACAGATACGGGCAGCCAGGCAGTGTAAATTGGCTGCATACAGAGACAACGGTGCAGAAAACAATCCCTACGTTCGGCGGGTAAGGAGCTGTTTTCCGCAGAAGGCGTGATCCAGCAGCTCGTGTCACGGGCAAGTCGGATTACGCGCTCAAGTCCGTTTAGAACAAATCTCAACAAAGGCTTCCTGGAAGATGCGGTATAAAGGTAATATGAAAAGTATGGTCTCCTGAAACGTCGAGTTTCTGTAGCGGGAAACACCATGAACTACCGTCTGAGGAGCTCTAAGTTTGCTCCCAAAAAAGACTTGCATTTCTCATTTAACTCGCCTGGTTACGGGACTGAGACCTGGTATTTAGCAGCTGACCGCCTGTCGATTGCTATTTGATAATCACCTCTTTATGTTTTCTAGCGCGCAATCCGAGCTGCCGACTTAGAACGCTACCAGAGATAACAAATAAAAACGTAATTATTTCACCTTTTACCCATCCCTGGCACAGAACACGACTGTACCCTAGCTAGCACAGTCGTCTTTCTGTCCAGTTAATCAGCTAAAAGCCGTGGTTCCAATCGAACTCATCACCTCCAATAAACACAGGGATCCGAATTAGAAGAGCTCTCTTACACTCAAAGTACATGTCGCGTTCGCTCATTCATCGCGAGAAAGCTTTTTCTCTGGCGCACCTCCAAATTGCTAATCTGATGCCCTCATCAGACCCCGTCAGCGTCTTAGGTCAAACCGAAAGCTTTCGCTTATCTCTTGTGCTCAGAGGCCGCATGTCTGGTCTGTGAAACAGTATGGACCACACCGTCACAACATATGTTCTACCTCTGACAGACAGAATGGCGTTACGCCGACGTCATAATTGTCAAGGGTTAGGGAAAGCTGCCACTGCCTTCTCAATTCGAGGAGCTGTTTCCCTGTCACCCGAACTTATATAGTTAGCCAGGTAAATAGGTCATTTCGGTTGGTTGGTTCAAGAGCACTGAGAATAAGCAGTCTAGTGCTACGAATGTGGGCGTGGCGAACTCAGGCGACTGGTTAACCACAGTGAAAGTAAAGCAGCTCATCGGAGGCGACCTCCGTGATCATAAGAGGAATTCAATTTGCAAAATGGACTGACGGACGAGACTAATGTACGCCTGTCACCGACGAGTTTCTTGTCCAGTATACGGAGCTCGTCCAGAAACGCGGTCTCCTGAACTAACTTTAAAACACAGAACAATGATACCATTATCTCTTGCTGAGTCAGATGACGATTAGTGTCGATCATGGAGTTGGTTCATTTTCTAATCAGAGTGCAAAATCGCCTGAGCCACGCAATGGCCCTCAAGAGCTTCATCCGATTGTCATAGTTATTAAACTTATCCAGCCAAGAGATCTTTTTCACTGTACATAAGCAACCGTGCAATTATGGGTTTTCTTCAGCATTTCTGAGGGAAGCGGAGCTTGAAGACTTGGTTCTGCTGGCCATGAGGACTATTTGTTTAGCAAGAAGATCGGACCTCGGGTCCACGAACTGCGTCCTTGGTCTTCTGGAAACGCACCTCGTGATGCGATATCCACTGTGTTGTTTTTACCGTCAACGTATCTACACTGATGCGCATGTGTGAATTCATGTATAGCTATCTTGAGGTTCACGACAAAGCTCTGGAAATGCGCAGATGTGTTGCGGAGTGTCTGGGGGACGAACATCGAGCCCGTCCATCTAATCGGCAGGAACAGCTCTCGTCTCGCTTGTGTGGCCATTCTTGTAGACAGGAAGACAACGGTAAGCTCCAAACGAAGAGTCGTGACGGCCTTCAGAGGAGCAACACGGAACTTATCCCATACAACGTAAAATTGTTGATTGCTCTCATTCCACGACCGAAGACAAGGAACCACTCCGTACGCTTTTTCTGATGCATCCGAGAAACAATGGAGTTCGTAGGATTGGGAAACAACAGCCATAAATGACAGGCATCTTGAGATTCTCGATTCAGTGGGAGCGACCATGGGGAGTCCCCATTTTCGCCACGCTCGCGCGATTTCGGGGCTCAATCCTCCATCTCACTTAGCCTGAAGCCTCAAAGCTGTTGGAACAGTAGTTTCCCAGGCAGTAGAGTGGGGCATACGAATCCTATGGAGTTGTACAGAGAGGCTCTAAGCGACGGCATCCTTCGCTTCGTGAGAGTCTGTTGGTTCCAATCATCATACCTGCTCGTATGATGGTCAGCTGACTGCCTAGTGGTTCCCGCTTAACATTGCCTGATTCCTAGTTGACAATGATACGGTCCAATGAACGACTGCAAAATCCGCGTGATAGTTTCCTGCTGGAGGTCTAGATGACTGAGGGGTTAAGGCTTCAAATTGATTATCAGAAGGTCTGTGGTACGAATCACAGCATGCCTTCTGTATAGACTTGGGCAGTGTCTGGGAGTATCTGGGAGTATCTTAATCCTCGCGCTCCGTACGGGTGGTACGGTAGCTAGGCACCAAAACGGTGTTACAGCTGAACAATTATTTGTCCGGCTGACCAGAACGATTGACAAATGGTCGAAAACATTCCCTCGAGAACTTCTACCTTCACCCGTGCATCATAGCGAACACAGAGTTCTGAAAACCGTGTACGGTGAAGTTGTCTAAAGCAGTTCCAGGTAAGTGGGTACTTGAGGCAACTTGCTGAGCAACAGTAAAAACGGCATCTGTAATAGTCTGCTGATATATGGATAAACCTCTCCAAAGCATGAGATATGGGTGTCAGTTCGAAAGGGTAAATAACAGAATATTGTGTTCAGGTAGAAGTGCGATACACAACTTTCCTAGTATTGGAAACCTATGGATTATTAAATAATACACTTGTCAATGCGAGGCCTAGGTTTGAGATGGTGACCAACAATGGATGTTAAACTGACAACATTTAACTTTCACACTTGAGGAGCACGTCTAAGCTGGCTGTCCGGTAACGGGATGAAGCTGACGCTGTTACAATAACTGGTTTCAAATAAATACTTAAACACACGTAAACGAGTGTATGCGCAGTAAGTAGTTGACTCACATGTTCGTCAATCGCACGCTCTAATTTTTGCATTTGGGTCAACGAAGACAGAGGGTAGTGAAGTGAAGTTTGTGTACGTGGTACATTCCAGAAGAGGACAATAACGAAACACAGGCTAACTATCCCAACCAAACGAACCAGTCTTGACCGAAGTATCCATAGCGATAGTCTCCCTGTCCTCCGTAACGAAAAATGAAGTAAGTTCCAGAAAAAAGTCTGAAACGAAAGTGACTTTGTAAGTGTTTAGACGAAGGAAAGTGCTTGCACGATAGAAATTAGATGAATCAAGGTTTCCGTGTTCCGCAGAATAAGCAGTAACGCGACGGAAAAGAGCGTTCAGCTGTAGCATTCTTTCGGGGCCTAGCTGCTATGCCACCCGAAGGAAGCATGAGGGCTGGGATACTGCCAGGTCGCCCAAGCCTAGACAGGGGAAGTCGAGGGACAGAGGTAGGGTTCGAACCACGGATTTTTCGGTCAGTAAATTCGCGCTCTAACCACTTTGACCATCTCGCCGTAGAGACCAGCTCCGTAGAGACTCAATGCGCCGGAGAACCACTAGCCTACAATAGGCTCCTCTGATAGAAGTAGGCTTACTGTATGATTCGTCCAGCCCTTTCCCGGAAACTATTGGGCCGAGAGTTAAGACCCCATATTCCATAATTACGATCCAGGAATTCGGTTCCTGATGCCAAAATCATGGAAAACAACCTGTCTGTCGTGATAGCGTCTATGTATTTACGAAATGGACAGAGATGATAACGAAGAGTTAAGGACAGTGGTACTAATCATTTCGGGATACGTTTATGAGGCGGATTGGTGAAATTCATGTTTGAACATACCACTGATTGAGATGGCTCAGTGGTTAGAGGGCGGATTTACTGGACGGGAGGCTGGTGGTCCGAACCCGACTTCTGCATGCCGATTTCTATAGTCTAGGCTTGGGAAACCTAGCACTATTTTTTCAGAAAACAGTGCAGTTGAAAGTGCATGAACGAAGAAAGCAGAGCATCGTCGCAAGATAACGGGAATATCTGGGTGGCCCTTTAGGTCGATCAATAAAACATATGGTCCCTGAAGAAGAGGCCTCCTTGGAATTAAAGTTTAGCGTAGCGCTATGAATTGCAAAACACCACTTCTGACGCCAGTGGTAACTGACTTCCCGAACCTATGCATCTTTCATGTAGAAAAGTAACCGAATTACGGGGACCAATAGCCTAAAAGTGCGAACAGCTACAGTTTCCTCGGCTAACACCAGCAACTACAATGCGACAAGGGGTTCTCGAAGCTGACTCCCAAATTTGGGGCTAATTTATCTGTTGCCGAAATCCATTTCCAAAAATAACATGCTTCAGCAGCTTCTGCTGATGAACGATGAATATCATATCATCGAATATATACTTCCTCAGTGCACGTTTCCGTCCGACTACACAGCCTATTCACAAAAAGATCAGGGAGCACATGACCATCATGTCACGAAGAGACTGGACTTTACCGTGATGTGACGGCTTGCGCACCTCAGAGATCCATCGAGCTATACTGGGGAGTGTCCCCGTGACACTCAGAGTCTCTCATTCCAGCTTGGTCAATAGTAAGAGGTCTGACAAACAGTCTCCTGGCTCTCCAGGTTGGGGGTCGGAACATGTGGTGACTTGTTCCTTGCATTTCTCGCCAAACACTGCTGCCTTGCGGTCAGGCTTTTGAGCCAAAGGTTTTGGTTGAGGACCCTAATCGTCCTCCTGTCTAGGTGTGGGTACCCTGGCAGTATCCCAGCCATCGTACAAACATAACATTCACAACTATACGACAGTGAAGCATCGGTGTTGAACACTGACGTCATGCTGTCAATGATGATGATGGATGATGATAAGAAGAAGATGATGATGATGATGATGATGATGGCAGGACCATCAAGTTCGTCTCGGCTTCATCTATACTGGTAATAAAACAATATACAGGGTACAGAAATAGTCACAACTTGAGAACCCCGGGGTCTGACTACACTCTTCTCCCAAACACCCAATGGAGTTCCGGTAATTATCACGTCTTCTGCTATGGTCATGAATAACCAGACAAAACTTTCTGACTATTCTGTCTGGGTTTGAAAGCAGTCGGTTAGACACAGAATCACATCCAAAAAAAAACAGGCAAACTTAAGCGTCCAATACAGCCGTAAGTTCCTGTGGAATTTATAGGCAACCAATAAAATAGGTTGAATTCAAATAACCCAGTGAATGATGGTGGGTGGTAGACCGATGATGTGGTCAGAGAAAATAATTCTCGCATAAATGGGATCATATCAGCCAGCTTCCACTCCTTGAGTAGCATCACCAGTTTATTGTTCAAGGTGAAAAAATTGTAACATAAATCCACCCAAATGCGGTAAGAATCATTCAAGGGGTGTTCTTACGAGCAACGATATTTCTGGAAGTACTCGCGAGTTCCGTTAACCACAACACCCTCATTTGGATATTCCTTCTATTCTGACGCGACTATCAAGCTCAGCATAGTTTTCACAAACAGTGCACTGGGATGCAGTGGTCGCAGATCCTACAGGTTCGTCGGAACTAATAAGAATGAGTTTAAGCCTCTCGTTGGAGGGAATGGCCCAATTAATTCAATGACGTCGAATGGTTCTGCTCGTCCGGCATGGTAGGGATTGAGAGCAGTATAGTGAAGACGATAGCTTTGGATCATGACCACCATTAGCTGTCAAAGACACTAACCGTTGACTTGTTTAGTCCTGTGGTCCATGTCCTGAGGTATTTACTAACGCGATTGGGTTGACTGGCAAGGACTTCCATGCTTCACTACCAGGTGGGCTGACCAGGTCGTCTCCATCTAACACAAGGATGGCTGAAGAGAGCTCTATGAGGCAGACGGTCACCTGGCATATGAAGCACATGGTCTAACCAGTGCGACCTGTGGAGCGTTACCAGCCTATCTATCGAGGAAGGATGAACCTCCCCGAAAACCACCTGGCGCGCTTCAGTATAACTGATCTGGTGCCCTCACCTGATCCGCGCAATGCTTCGGAGGCAAGATCGTCAAACATAGAGAGCCTTCGAGTATCATCAACAAGCAGCGACCACGTCTCTGATCCACAAAGTAGAACGGATCGGGTCGCGGCTGGTATCATGCAGACACGATAAATGTAGCCAAAAACGCCTCCCTGGTTCTCCCATTTCGGAGAGTGACGTCTTTCACCAGACCATCGGAACTTAGGCAACTGCACAGGTGGACAAACTTACCTGCTACTTCGATCGGTTTACCTGAAAGTATGAGGTTTTGGTTTGATGCCACCCAAACTTGCAGCAGCACTTTACACTACACAGGTGCGGAGTGTAAATCGAACTAGGCAGCACAATTCTTTAAGTTACTCAAAATACTTCGCATTTCTGACGGGCCTGATCCAAGCGAAGCAATTTCATCGGCGTACACAGTGTCTGTAAGTAAACTCCTCAGAAGTATTTTGACGACTGACGTGTTAGGGACAGGTAAGGAAACCGTCGATGGTCGCTCAGCTGTAACACCCTCCTGTTGCCTAGCTGCCATACCATCAGAAAGAGGCACAAGGGTTGAGATACAGCCATGTTGCTTAAGCCTAGATAGGAGCATTCAATATGGTTGGGTTCGAACCATGGACTTATCAGTAACTTCGCGCCTCTACTACTGAGCCATCTCAGTCTCAGGTACCGGTTGGAAAGTTGAGGAAAAGAGCGACAGGGGACACTCTTGTGTGGGACCACTCGATGTGGTGAACTCAAGGATGAATTTGCTGTAGACACGTACGCACCCGCGGAAAACACGTAAAGCTTTTATAAGGGACACACTTCGTTGTCATACACTGCTATAGTTCCTGACGATCAACGGAGTCAAAAGCAGATTCCAAATCGATAAATACAACTATTGCTGGTCGTCGGAGGGAGTGGTGAAATTCCAGTACTTGTCGCCAAGTGAAGATGAGGTGGAAGCAACCCTGGTCAGGGCGAAACCCAGTTTGATTCCTATGAATCTGACTCTCTCGATGACGTATCAACCTGCGCAGGCTAATGCCAGATAACGTCTCGGATGTTATGGCCAATAGGATAACGCCCCGGTGATTTTCGATGTTCTTGCCCACCTTTTGAATAGGGGAATCACCATCAAGGTAATGCATTCTGTTAGTTTTCCCCATTCAAGAGATTTGGGAATATAGTTGTTATGGTTGGCCACAGCGGACTCGCTAGCTTCTATGAACTGCTCAGGGTGCGAGAATTTTCAGTGGTTAGAGCGCGAATTTACTGAGAGGAAGGCGCATGGCTCGAACCCGACCTCCACCTCTCGACGCATGGCTGGAACCCGACCTCCACCTCTCGACTTCCACTATCTAGGCCTGGGCAACTTGGCAGTATCTCAGTCCTCATGCTTCATCATCATCAGTATCATCTGCTGTAAGAACCGCGTATCTGTACAGTGGTTGTTTCGTCCATCGATGATTTGGAGAGGTACGGTAGGTAGCTTCTTTCTGGTGGCATGGTAGTTCAAAAGGGTGATAGAGCTGAACTTGCACTTGCTTCGTTGCGCTGAAGCAATGAGATTTCACGCTGGACTTCCGCGGTCGATGGCGGACTAATGCAATGCGATTAGGCTTCTGAGCCAAAGGCTTTGGTTGAGAAAGAAAATCGTCATCCTGTCTATGTGTGGGCACCCTAGCAGTGTTCCAGGCCACGTACAACCATGAAGCACGTTATACACCATTTCGCTGCGTATTCGTTAAAGCCAGGCAACTCTAATAGTATACGGCGTCTGCAATTTTTATCGATTTATATGTAACCACTGGCGATGCACAACCTTGCTTCGCTCAGATGTAGCACCCTATCGGTGCCTAACTTCCATGCCACCATAAGGAATCACGTAGTCCGGGATATTGCCAGGTTGCCAAGCCGACAGGGGAAATCGAGAGACAGAGGTAGGATTCGAACCACGGACCTTCTGCTCAGTAAATTCGCGCTCTCACCACTGAGGCATCTCCCCCTAACCTTACTTACTGGGCTTCGGCTCATTTTTCCCCTTTCTGCCTTCTATCCATAGAAATTGTTGTGGACACCTACCTTCGGATGATCACTGTCCATAGCGTGCATACTACCCTCTTGCTATGCTACGGACAAAACAGTTGACAACCGTATGAAGACCAACGTCCTAGGATCGAAGCTGCAGGATCCCGCGGCTGTTACAGCTGCCTTGTATACTGAAACATGAAACTACCTGCGCAGACCACTTGGTTGTCGTTTCAAGAGACGGACTGCATCATCATCATCATCGCGTGCTAGGAGCTGCAGGATCCCGCGGCTGTTACAGCTGCCTTGTATACTGAAACATGAAACTACCTGCGCAGACCACTTGGTTGTCGTTTCGTTTGACGGACTGCATCATCATCATCATCATCGACAGCATGACATCAGTGTTCAACACCAATGCTTCACTGCCGTACAACCATGACTTATTTGAAAGCCTTATTGTAAAGAAAAGAATAAAGGTGGACGGGGGATGGGCTTAGTGCTAGCTTAACACAATCATTCCGAGGTGCCTACACCTCCAGACATTCACTCAGGCAATCTGGACAGAAACTGACAACAAGAACGCCACTGACATCGGTTGGCAGCCATATCTTGTAGTGTCTCCAACCAGGCACAGTGAGGATCACGCGGTCCCCATCCTGGAAGGCGAGTAGCACCGACAGCACCCAGGCGTTTCGTGATCTCCTTCGTACTCCTCTTCCAAGTCAAGGGTTGGCCACCTCTCTGTTTACGCTGCTCTGAATTGGGCATGGAAAACAGCACTCTCTTCGGCAAACGATGGTTCGGCATACGTAACACATGTCCCAACCAACGCAGCTTCTGGTGCTGGATACATTCTTCAATGGAAGTACCCGTTACACAACCGAAAACACACTTTCTAACTGCCTCGTTACGGATTCACCGACACCAACCCACGCGAGCTACGGTTCTGAGACAACGATTGTCGAACACCTGAAGACGTCTCAGGTCCGCTGCTCGAATAGGCCAATCCTCACAGCCATACAACAAAACAGCCCGTACTGTAGCTCGATACACACGTCCCTTCAGATTCAGGGATAAACCATTCTGACGCCATAGGTGTCTCAAGTTAGCAAACGCTAACCGAGCCTTGCAGGTTCATGCATTCACCTCATCCGTCACACTACACTCAGAACTAATACAACTTCCAAGATACGTAAAACGCTCCACAACTTCCAGTGCCTCTCCCTGGATCGTAAGTGGCGTGTTCAGTGACTGCACGTCCACAAGCATGACCTTACACTTTGTGGGTGCAAAATGCATACCAAAGGACGGGATGACTTTGGTCAGTTCATCCAAGAATACTTGCGCCTTCTCCTCCTCTTCGAACATGAGAAC